CTCCCTCAGAGCCTCAGGAGACGGCCAGGAACAGGCCCTCCCTCAGAGCCTCAGGAGACGGCCAGGAACAGGCCCTCCCTCAGAGCCTCAGGAGATGGCCAGGAACAGGCCCTCCCTCAGAGCCTCAGGAGACGGCCAGGAACAGGCCCTCCCTCAGAGCCCCAGGAGACGGCCAGGAACAGGCTCTCCCTCAGAGCCTCAGAAGACAGCAAGGAGAAGCTCTTCCTCAGAGCCTCAGGAGGCATCAGCCCGGCAGACACCCTGATTTGGGCTCCCAGCCTGTGAGATAATACATCTCTGTTCTTTAAAGCCTCCCACATTGTGGTACTGTGTTAGGGCGGCCCCAGGAAACTCAGACGGGGACACAGGTTGGGACACAGCACACACAGGGAGACTGAGGGAGCAGGCTGGTGTGGGGGGCGTGAGGGTACGTGGGGTGGGGGGGGGCACTGCAGAGGCGGCCCCAAACACAGTCGTTAACTATACACGCGCATTCCTCTAGAGAGCGCTGACCCTCCCTTCCCAGGCCAGTGAAGAAGGTGGTCACACCAATGGGGTATTTCATTATTGGAGGTACAGTAAGAACTTCACTATAGTCCATGAATGCCAGCTAATGAAATCTAATATCAAAAAGCCACTGGGAACTGAAAAAACCAGTACCAGAAGCATGACGCTTTTCCCCTGCCATGTCCCCCTCCTCATGGGCAGCAAACACAGGGTCTGTACAGCGCCTTCAGCAGCACACCACGGCCCACTCCTCGCCTCCCCAGCTGCGGGTGCAGACCCAGTGGGGCCGTGGGGCGTTAGGGAGGGGCTTGGCCTGGGGAGCTCCCCAACCTTCAGATCTTGGAAATCTAGACCGTGGGCTCAAGACCCCAGAAACAGGAGTCACGGATAGCACACGTCCTGGGAGAGCTAATGTATCTCTGCGAGGTTCCCCTTCCTCTTCCGGGAGGCCTCGGCAAGGGCAGGGCCCCCCAGCTGCTCCCTCCCTTTGAGGACCTCCATACTGCCCTCCCCAGGGAACACTGCTACACGCCTAAGCGTGTTCAGTGGGAAATAAAATTACACCATGCCAGTACCCCTCAGGGCTTTGGAGAAGGGAATGGGGCAACTCTGAGGTCCCGGGACCTCATCTCCGTCCTCCTTGTCCGCGGCTGCACTTCCAAGGAGCCCACGTTCTTGTTTTTACCCTACTGTGCTTCATCTTTACAATAGTCATTGAAAATGTGAGGCCCATCAATATTCTGACAAGTCACGAAGCTACCTGATCCATTTGGAGCCCGTGGGGACTGTCAGACAAGCTCTCACTCTTGGTTTGGGTCCCCAGACAATAAAAAGCTCCAGAGCATCTGCTGTGATAGAGCCATTTCCCTGGAAGATGCTCATTCCAGCACATGTGTTCATGTCAAAATCTAAATAGGCCGGGGGGGCCCTGAGTACATAAAAGCCATCCCTGCCTGAGACAAGGAAACCCTGGTGGCGCAGTGGTTAAGAGCTATGGCCGCTCACCAAATGTCAGCAGTTGGAATCCACCAGCCGCTCCTCGGAAACCCTATGGAGCAGTTCTGCTCTGTCCTATAGGGTCGCTATGAGTCGGAATCAACTTGATGGCAACGGGTTTGGTTTCTGGTTTTGTCTGGATGAGGGTGCGGCCAAGCTGCCACGCATTTGCTGCCTGCCCTGGAGGGACCACGTCAGGAAGTGCTTACCGTGGGCCGTGCCTTCAGCGGGTGGTCCTGGGACGTGGCTGGCTTGGCGTCCAGCCCTGCAGCCGTGGTCCCCACGGTCCCTGCAGCCGCAGCGCTGCCCTCGGGGGCCTCCTCCAGCTGCAGCAGGTTGAGCTGCAGGGGCGAGCTGCTGCGGGACTGGAATATGGGCGGGGAGGCCCGGCCCACGGGCCCGGTGGTTGACGAGGGGGTGGCCGGGGTGGCTGCACGTGATGCCAGCTGCCCGTGCTGTGACGGGGGACAGGCGCACGGCTGTGTGGGGAACGGGCTCCGACCGGGGAACACAGGCTCTGAGATGGGTATCATCTCGGGGTGGCCCGGAAAGTTAGTCTGGCCAGGGAAGAAGGCCTGGGGTAGGCTCGGGGTCACGGCAGGAAAGGGGTAGCTGGGCAGCATGAATGCCATGACTGGACCCAGGGGGGCTGTGAACGGCGGGGGCTGGACCGAGAAGTCGGGCTGGGCGCCCACGGGCACCGCGAAGCCAGTGTGGGGGGCTGTGGGGAACACGGGCAGGGAGTAGGCTGGCCCGGGGGCGGGGAAGGGCACAGCCGGGCAGCTGGACTGGGATGTGTTGGACGGCGACCAGGCCGTGGCATTGAGGCCCGCGAGCGGGGCGCGGGTTGTGGCCGGCTGTCCTGATGCCGTGCTCCCGGACGAGTCACGGAGCTTGGCCCGCTTGGACTTGAGCTTCCTGTTCTTCCCGGGTTTTTTCCATGATGAATGCATCCCAGAAGCATTTCTTAGTCCAGGAGCAGCTAGAAGAATGAGAAAATAACCCAAGTTCAACTTTTTTAAAATGATGCAGTTCCCGCCCATTATGTCGCGCCTCAGAGACGCGTAGAAAAGTGAAGGAATGTCCATGTTCACCGGCCCTTGTTCCCCTCCGGCAGCTGGGCCCCGGGCTCCGCTCATCCCCAGTGAGGCGGGACAAAGACCAGGTCTGCCCTTTACTGCCAGATCACATTTCTTCTTTGCTCGTGGCGTTAAAATGTCCCTTCTTTTATGAAATTACAGTGATCATACGTGATGTTAAAAAGATTTTATTTGTTGACATGCAACGGCTCTATGTGGTTCCCCAGCATTTGGGGGACAATTACTGGTTTGTGAAATCCGAAAGACAAAACCACACATCTTATCGAACCTCCCTACTTTTCAATTCCATACGCTCTTCTGCTACTGCCCCTTACAAAGAGAGGGTTCCTGCTTCCTGTGCAAATGAGGGCTGTGACTGCACCCCAAGCGGGTGACCACGGGCCCAAAGGGAGCATGTGCCAAGTGTTTGGATCCCACACTGTAGGGATGGTGAGTGTGCGGAGACCATGCTTTCTCCAGCAGACGCTCCCCTGGGCCAGGCCAGGGCTAGGGGTACTGGCTCTCAGCTTGGTGGTTGTGCCATGCCTGGGGTGGGTGTCTCTGGACAACAGACGGGTTTAGGAGACCCCAGTTTTTCTTCTCAGGCCATGCAGGGTAACTCAGGGCTCTTTAGAGGCGAACACTTCCTCCCAGCTGTGCCAAGGGGACCTCCTGCCTCTGTGATGAGCTGAAGGTGACCGGGCCAGCCCAGGCCCACTGCTGAGTCGGCTTCTCTGGTGTTCTTCCTACGGGAAAGCTGCCCCCTGGTGGCACCAGTGCTGAAGCACTGGGACCCACATCGGGGTCTGGGCAGGGTGGCCAGGGACAGCTGCGCAGCCTGCGCACTGCACAAAATGCAGGGTGGGGGCAAGCAGGGCTGGGTCTGTCTGGGTGGGGGACAGCACCTTCTAATTTCCACAGACGTCCTGTGTGGACGGCGGCCGTCCCGAGTCTGAGGGAGAGGGAGAAGAAAAGGGGTGAAAAGATGTCACCCCTACAGCCTGTTAGCAGCCACTCTTGTTTCTCAGACACTCCTTCGGAGTGCCTGCCCAGACCAGAAGGAACGGGGTCCTTGGGGGCAGTGTCTCTGGGGCTCACTGGCTCCAATCCTGTGCGAGCCTGGGGCCCGGGAAGGAGGCAGTGTCTCTGACCTGCCAGGCCCAGCTGTGGGGCCTAGGGCAGAGCCTGGGGGTCAGGAGCCGGTCTCTGGGCCCTGGGCCCAGAAAAGGGGCAAAGAAGGTGGTCTGTTTTGCTTTATCCTGTGACCTTTGACTGCCTGGCAGCTCTTGGCCTAAAGGAAGCTCGGTGTACCCATGGGGTCTGCTTGACTTTGGGGTCTGCAGCCTGACCCCCAAGACGGCTGTGCAGGAGGGCACGTCTTTGGGGGAGATGTGTGTGTTCCCTTCTCAGGTGCCAGCCTGGGGCTCCCTCCTTCCTCCAGGAGCTGACAGCAAGTGCCCCATCAGCACCCTGGGGCCTGACCTGGCTCTCCAAGGGTCAGGTCCCCCACCTGGGGGTGCACCCAGGCAAGGGCGGTTTTCCTGTAACAATGCAGCCCTGCAGCCACCCAGCCCTGTGTCCCACGGGGGCACTGCCAGTTTTGAGGGGCCAGCCTGCAACTGTCCCCACTGCTTACAGCTCTATATCCCTGGGGATGCAAGACGCATCCCTGAGAGAAGCCCACAGCCGGAAAGTTCTACAGAAGCAGACTCAGCCCTAGTGGCTCTCAGACAGCTGTCCTACAGATGAACACCTCCTGTATTAGGGACATTTCACTTTCCTTGTTGATTTTGTTTTTTTGGCAGATTTGTGACTTAGGAGACCCCGTGTTACAGAGTCAAGCTGCCCCGCAGGGTTTCCACGGTCATTACGAAGCAGGTCATTAGGTCTCTCTCCTGCAGAGCTGCTGAATGGGTTCCAATCGCCAACCTTTTGGTTAGCAGCCGAGCTCAAACCGTTTATGCAACCCAGGGACCTCGACATTTCACGTCTTGAAATCAGCGCTGGACTCAGTACCACGCAGAAGAAGGTTTCGAAGAAACCCGTGGGAAGTCCAGGCATTAATCGTCACTTACTTAGCTGGCTTGACTGCCCCCTGGGCCTTTCCTGTAAGTAGTGAGGACAGCATGAGCTGAATGTGCTGAGTTTCCGCATCTCCTTCAACTTGTGCAGGAAGCTCTGCTCCTCCTTCTGCGTGTGCGCCGCCAGCACCTCCTTGGTGAGGCCCAGCTTCTTGAAGGGCTCCTTCTCAGGGCCCAGGCTGCAGCTCAGCACGGGGCCGGCTGGGCCGTCCAGGGACTCGGCCCCGCTTGTGGCATCTTCGATCATTTCTGGAACAAAGATCAAAGACCTGCTGATGTTCATGTCATCCTTTACTTTAAAACTAAAAAAAAAACAAAAAACACCCCAGACTGTACAAAAAGTACAAATACAGCAGAATCCTACTTATGTGAAATAGGCAGATACAGTGAAACCTGTGAGAGCCGGAACTCAATGAGACTGCCTTGTTTTTCTGGGTCTCACAGGTTTCCTGCCTTTGCCAGGTACAATCTTACTTTTCTGTCGCTCTCTATTAGTGGAAAATATTTGCGTTTTCCTTCTTTGACAGGTTTCCACCTTACACAGGTTCTGGCTTTCGCAGGTTTTAGTGTATATTAAAACAAATATACAGCCTATTAGTGGTTGCTGGGAGTGGGAGGGAGGGGAGGGCACTGAGTTTCTGTTAACGCTGGTGCAATAATTTGGCAGAGGATAGTGGTGATGGTAGTACCACATGATGAGCGGACTCGGTGTCACGAACGATACGTGAAAAAATTGTTCAACTGGCAAGTGTTTTGTTATATATATTTTTACCAGGATAAAACAAGCACGTCCAGACTGCATGTATGAGCACATGTAAAATGACCCCACGGTGGCCACAGCATGGGGATGGAATCCACCAAGTAAAGGGCCAAAAGCAATGACAGAGAACCTGGCTACCTAGCTGGCTCAGGAACCAGTCTTCTGAGCAAACTGAAATCGGGGCACCTCGGGGTTTCAAGCTCTGCATTGCAAATATTCCTAAGATGCCCTCAGCTTTTAAGACACAACAGACTGAGGTGGATGGAAAGCATCTTTCCTGGTTTGGGACCACGTGGAACTGGGGGTACAGAAGGAACAAGGCACAGGAGGGGCTTCACAGGCCATCTGGAAAGGGAGTGTGGGGGCTGAATCTTGGTTATGCACTTTCCTCCTCCTCCTTTCCCTCTTCCCAGTAAAGAACAAAATCAGGAGTCTCATTAACCACAGGCATGCGGAAGAACAAGGAAACCCGGTGACAACCGATAACCACTGTTGCCTATAACTCTTGTTACAACCTGTACCAGCTTCTGAACGCCATCCCGGCCCCATCAAGCAGGGAGGGCTAAAGAGGATTGTGGGAGTCTTACAGGAGGGTGAGGCTGGGCAGGGGAAGCCGCACTCCATCGAGGGAAGCGGGGAGGTGGCAAGGCCCTTCACTCTGTGTTTTCTCAGTAACAACTAACAGGGATCCGTACATCTGCTCAGTCCTGCAGGCCAGGGGTGGGTGCAGGACTACACTGTTGGGGGGATGGTCTGCCTCTACACCTCCCACCCAGGTTGCTTAAGTAAAGGCCCTGGACCCAGAGCATTCTCTGATAAGGAGGCTGGGAATTGGGTTGTGTCATGGACTGAATTATGTCCCCCCAAAAATGTATGTGTCAGTTTGGCTGGGCCATGATTCCTGGTACTGTGTGATTTTCCTATGTTGTAAATCCTGCCTCTATGATGTTAATGAGGGAGGATGGGTGGCAGTTGTGTTAGTAAGGCAGGACTCAATTTACAAGACTGGATTGTGTCCTGAGGCAATTTCTTGAGATATAAAAGACAGAAGTGAGCAGTGAGACAGGAGGACCTCATACCATCAAGAAAGCAGTGCCGGGAGCAGAGCACGTCCTTTGGACCGGGGTCCCTGTGCTGAGAAGCTCCTAGTCTGGGGGAACACTGATGAGAAGGCCGAGAGAGAGAAAAACCTTCCCCTGGAGCTGACGCCCTGAATTTGGACTTTCAGCCTACTTTGACTGTGAGGAAATAAACTTCTCTTCGTTAGAACTATCCACTTGTGGTATTTCTGTTATAGCAGCACTAGATGACTAAGACAGGTTGCCTTCTCTCTCCCAGTTCCTTCTCCTTATCAGAGAAGCCTTCCCCCTGTTCTGGGCACACAGTAACTTTCTCTGTCTCTTGCATATGTGCAGGCACCACACAGTACCTGGCCAACCCCACTTCTATATCTGTTCCTGGCAGGGAGGGAAGGGGGGGTCTCTCATGCTGCAGCATAAGAGGGGGGATGCACCAGACTGGAAGAGCCAGCCTCAAGGGGTGGACTGAAGGGGAGAAAGGTTTTGTGAGGTCAAACACGGACGCTGTCATGCGTTCTGCCAGTTCACTACAGTGTGCATTCTTATGTAAGTCCCTGGCATGTAGCTACTGTCCTCCACCACCACTATAAAACCTTTGCCCTCCCACTGCTGGTAGCGGAGATCCGCTTTGGTCCTGTGGCTGCCCAGGACTCACCTCATCTCTTAAGTCTTCCTAATAAACTCCTTTGCTGCCATCCTGTCTCTTTCTTCGGTCTCTTGGCACCCTCCAATTTCAGAGGCAAGTTTCGCATTACTGGTCCCTGCCTGGACAACAACCCACCCCTTCCATATTTGCACTGGAACAAACAACTCCCACCAGGTGGGGCCGAAGTGCAGGCGATCAGGAGGGGGCGTCACTTACTGCCCTGGCTGGCTGCACCCCCTGCATTTTATGTGACTGGATTTCTGGATCTCACCTGTTGGGCTATGGTGGGGTTCTTCTGGGCTTTCTTCTCCCCTCAGGTGAGTATTTTTTTTTGGAAAAATATATATAATACAATATTTGCCAATTCAACTTTTTTTCTGTATACAATTTAGTGACACCAATTAAACTAATCAAGTTGTGCAACCATCACCAATATCCGTTGCCAAATTTCCCATCACCATAAACAGAAATTCAACACTTCCTAAACAATGGCTCCCCCTTCCCCCTCCCTCTCACTCCTAGTAACCACTAACAAACTTTGGTCTCTATACATGTTTATTCTAGCTATTTCATACAAGTGAGACCATACAACATTTGACCCTTTATGACTAACTTAAAAAAACAAACAAAAACTTGTTGCCGTCCAGTCGATTCCAACTCATAGCAACCCTACAGGACAGGGTAGAACTGTTCCACACGGTTTCTAAGGAGGGGCTGGTGGATTCGAACTGCCGACCTTTTGGTTAGCAGCCAAGCTCTTAACCACTTGACTTAGATAAACTTATTTTTAAAACCAGATTACTCTCGATATCATCACAGAACCAATCCACCAGCGTACCTAGCTCAGGCTGCAGCTTCTTGTCTCCGACGTGGACGATGGTGCTGCTGTAGCTGCACTGGCTGGTGAGGGACACCACGCTCTCCGCTTTGCCAGGCAGTGTCAATGAGGTCAGGTGTGTGGTGACGTCTGAGTGGCTCTTCTCCTCGGCAGGCTTCAGCAGGGCTGTGTGCACCTGCGAGGCTGCCTCTTCAGAGAGGAACAGAAGCAGGCATGAAAATGTGACACAAGTGGCTGTAATAAACAACACTGGTCCAGACGGCACATGAAAACCTGAGGGGCCTGGCTGCACCATCCCACCCTGAAAATGCTCCAGCCTCGGGTGTGTGACTGCCTGTCCTTGGTGCTTATTCATGGAGGAGGTGGAGAAGAGGAAAATCTGAGCTGGGGACGACTGTGCACTTCAACCCTGACTCCTCGGGGACCCCGCGGCCTGGCTATTGTTGTTAGTTGCTGTCGAGTCCGTTCCCACCCCTTGTGTGTCAGAGCAGAACTGCGTCCCGTAGGGTTTTCAATGGCTGTGACCTTTTGGAAGTAGATTGCCAGGGCTTTCTTCCAAGGCACCTCTGGGTGGGTTCAAACTGCCAACCTTTCAGCTAGTAGTCGAGTGCTTAACTGTTTGAACCAGCCAGGGACTCTTGCAGCTTGGTAGCTGCAGGGAATTCAGGGCCAGGAGCCTCTGCTCGGAGCCAGGCGGCCCTTCAGGGGAGAGTCACAGATTCTGGAGGGTGGAAATGACCTAGTTGGTGTCACAGCAAGTAATTGCTTCTTCCTATCGGTAGGCAAGGTCATAGGTTCGTTCAGTATGCCGGTCCAACCACTCTCCCCAACAACGTGACACCCTATTTTCAGACCCTGGCAGTGACTAGCAGCACCCTCCATGATGATGTATGGCCGAGATGTACTTGGATTGTGGGGAGCACTCACATTCGCAGGCCAGTGCTCCCCGAGGCATGCTGGAAGCGGGCCTGCCCTGGGTGACATTGTGAGGCTGGCAAGCTGCAGGAGGGGGGCTCAGGGGACTGCCAGGCCTCCAGCAGCCCTGGTGGGGTCCCCTGTCAAAAGCCAAGGCTCCCGGGGCCAGAGCCCCCTGCCCCATGCTGCTAAGAAGGAGGCTGAGGTCTGAACTCCTGGTAGCATTTGTAAAACAGCCTTAAGTTTTACCAACAGAGGCCACTCAGAGTTAGTGTGGGAAGGAAGAAGGGACACGCAGCTCCTCAGTGACGCCACGCTCCTTGGTGGAGGACACACAACTCACACGCCCGACAGCTCAAAGCAAATAAGGTACCTCCCGTCGCCTTGCGCTTGTCACTGGCGTTCAGGGCCGGGGCGCTGGCCGGGAACTCGCACTTCCTCTTCAACGTGGTGGCCTCGCTGCAGCTTTCCAGGTACCTGTGCGGACAGACAGACGGACATCAGGCAAGGCTTCATACGGCGCTCAGGCGGGAGAGCGCAAGCCGCGAGGGGTGGCCGGCTCACCTGATGACGCTGTCGAGGCAGCTAACCTGCTGGTAGGAGCAGGCCGGCTGGGCCCTGCACACCAGCTCCTCGGGGAAGGTGGCCCTGGGGACGCCAGCCCCCGCGCCATCCCTGTCTGTGGCTGGGGCCGCCTTCATCAGGATAGGGGGATGACTCTGCAGCTCTTTAAGAATGATAAAATTGTTCTTTCATTTAATATTTTCCCCTCCAAAGAGGCCACTCCACATTTATAAAGCATTTTCAGTCTAAGCACATGAATCACATGGGCCCTCTGCAGAGTGAGGAGAGCCAGGGCCAAAGCTCCTGGTGACACTCAGCAGGCTGGGGCCACAGGGACGCCCCTCAGCCACACCTCAGTAGGCCCGTAGGGCATCAGGGGCCCAACACGATGACTCATATGTATACGGCTGAATAAACCCCGGCAACCTGCTTCTGGTAAGATTGTTGTTGTTAGTTGCCACCAAGTTGATTCCAACTCATGGAGACCCCATGTGTGCAGAGTAGAACTGTGCTCTGTAGGGTTTTCACGGCTGTAAGGTGCCTCTGGGTGGGTTTGAACGGCAAACCTTTTGGTTAATAGTTGAGCGCTTAACCATTTGTGCCACCCAGGGAGTCTTCTGTTAAGATCAAGCCAAGAAAACCCTACAGACCAGTTCTGCACACGGGGTCTCTAGAGTTGGAATTGACTCAACGGCAGTGGGTTTGGTTTGGTTTGTTGAGTAAATGAATGCCCAGGCTGAACATGTATCATAACTTGTATCATCAAAGTAGACTGGAAGAACAAGGAAGGGGAACGTAGCATACAGTTAAAAAAATTAGTAGGTAAATTCTCTGCCACCCAGAGTTAAAACTGAACCCAGGTTCCTCTTCCCCCCTCACCATACTCAAATTTTATTAAGTAAACGCTGAATGCTTTCCTTACCTGTAATAGGTTTTTTCTTTTGTTCTGTGAGTTCATGAGAATAATGACTTTTGGTTTTGGCCCTGTTACCATTTTTACAAATGCCCTTGAAGAAAAACAAAACAAGCATATTATTCACCCTAAGAGACCCTCTATGTGTTAGCAAATCTTGGAGAATAGCTGAAATAGTTCCAGCAACGTAGAAGTAATTTCTGAATAAGAACTTATCTGTAGTTCAGAAAAAATAAACGCAATATGATCCTCAATAATAATGATTAAAAAAAAATCTAAATTGGTATATTAAAATTTCTTTTTCCAAATTCTGATCAAAAGGGGGAGAAATGTAGAACAGAATTTAAAATTTTCATGGAATCCAGACTTTCTGGAGCTATTGAGGTTGGATGAACAGTCAGAACTATTGCCCTGAAATAATCTTTAAATCTTACACAAAAAATATCCCCTGTAGTCCTCTTTAAACCAAACAATATTTCAGCTTAATTAGTAAAGAATGCCTGCCTTGAGTATTGTGCTCTTTTGAAAACTATCTATATGGGATCAAATTGAGAACAGCAACTCGAAAGATTAGATAGGAAGCTTAAGGGGCAGTGAGTTTATGTTAACGGGGGAGGAACAATTCGGAAAAGGAAGGTGAGAATGGCTACACAACTTGAAGAATACAATCAATTTCACTGAATTGTACAAGGAGAAATTGTGGAATTGATATATGTTCTGCTGTGTATATTCTCAACAACAAAAAATAAAATAGAAAGATTTTTTTCTTGTTTCTTTCCCAGAGTTAAATCTTCCCTTTTGTTTGATTTATCTGCTTTAAACAATCTTCATCTAAACCTTCAACTACAGTTTTTGGCTGCCTCGACTCTTGAGGGATTATGAAATAAATCCCAAGTGAAAAATTTTGAGAGTAACCAGAACAGCAGGAATCAGAGCTTTGGTAATGTTCATGGACCACTGTTCCACTTTCTGGCGTGTCCCTAGCCTGGCTCCCTGGGAGGGACGGGGGACATATGGGGGACGTACGGGTTTCCTCTGGTGGGTGTCCTCGTGGCCGTTGCTGTCACTGGAGGATGTCTGGCTCATGAGGTGCTCGTGGGACCCGTTGCTGCCCAGGCTGTCATAGCCGCTAGAGCCACTGTAGGGCACGGGCTGCAGGGAGAGTGGACGGGCACGTGAGCGCTGCGGGGCCCGGGCCGCAGGGAGAGCGGACGGGCACGTGAGCGCTGCGGGGCCCGGGCCGCAGGGAGAGCGGACGGG